CTCCTCGTGCTCGCGGGCCTCAAACTCCTTCAACTAGGCCTCCAAAAAACTAATAGACTCTTTTGTTCTCCACTATCAGAATGTTCGTAGTTTACTTGGCAAGCTCAGTAGGCTGCACGTCAATAGTGTCTCTTTCGATGCCAATGTTATTGTCTTTACAGAAACATGGCTCAACTCCTCTGTGTCTGACTCTGAGATTTTTTCAGGGAACTATGCCATCTTTAGACGTGATCGTCCTATACGGACAGGCGGAGGTGTTCTCATTGCGGTTAAATCCGATCTGGTTTCCAATATCATTTCTAAAACTGACACTGATATAGAGTTTGTGGCGGTTCGCATCCAGGTTTACGATTATTCTATCTACGTTTCATGCTCGTATATTCCACCTAGGTCTGACACTGATATTTATATGCAGCATTTATCCTTAATTCAAGAAATTCATTCTTCCCTTGGTATTAATGACCACCTTATCGTCACGGGTGATTTTAATCTACCCTCCATTTCCTGGATGCCCTTACCTGATTCAAATGTTCTTGTTCCCACCTCACCCCACGATTTAATTCATGGTCTCATTGACCATTCATTGGGACAATTAAATTTTGTTAGGAACTGCAGTAATAACGTCTTAGACCTCATCTTTGTCTCTGAGTTTGCCAATGCCTACGTCACTAGAATTGACCCTCTTTCTAGTCCTGAGGACGCTTATCATCCCACTTTGGAGCTAACCCTCGAAGCCTCCACACCATTATTATTGTGTTCGGAAGCTGAGCCTGCAACGTTTCGTTGCTTTCGAAAAGCTAAGTTTACAGAAATGAACCACCACTTATCCTTAACGGATTGGACTTTCTTGAACTCCACAGAGGATCCCTCAGACATTGTTAAGCGTTTCTATGAAATAATGTACTCAGTTTTCGACATGTATGTCCCTTTATTTCCCTCACCAGAAGTTTCTCAGAAGCCCCCTTGGTTTTCTCGTCGGCTTTCATATCTAAAAAATCTGAAATCTAGACTGTTTAATAAGTACAGCAAATCTGGTTTTCAAGTCGACCATTCGAGATATTTAACTGCTCGTACAAATTTCCTAGCACACAATTCTGAATGCTACAGAAACCACTTAAATCGGTGCAAAATTGAGTTTCAGGCTAACCCGAAGCAATTTTACGCTTTTTTAAACTCGAAACGGAAATCTCAACAATTTCCTTCATGTCTTCATTACGATAATGCCTCCGCTTCCAATGAGCCTGATATCGCGAACCTGTTCGCAAAATTCTTCCAGACTACATACTCACAAACTAATTTTGATAACAACTCAGAGTATTCTTTTCCACTCCCGCACTCCAATTGCATTTTTATGCCTGTAATCAGCGAAGATGATGTTCTTCATAATCTCAGAACAATGAAACTTTCCTTTTCCTCTGGTCCAGATCTTGTACCTAGCTGCGTTCTGAGAAATTGTGCCAGTTCATTATGTAGACCACTGTCTAGACTTTTCCAGTTATCACTTCAGCATTCGTTTTTCCCCAAAGTTTGGAAAGAATCGTTTATCATTCCGCTTCATAAAAAGGGCAGTAAATCTAATATTGAACACTATAGAGGTATAGCAAAACTTAGTGCGATTCCCAAATTATTCGAATTTCTGATTACTACTCAGCTTCAGCACCAATGTAGCTCAATAATGTCCCCCTCACAGCATGGCTTCATGAAACGTAAATCAACGTCTACAAATCTCCTTGAGTTTGTTGCTGTCATTAGAAACGCGTTTAAAAATAACACCCAAACCGATGTTATCTTTACAGATTTCAGCAAAGCTTTCGATTCGGTGAATCATCAATTACTGCTGAAGAAACTTTGTCTGTTAGGTTTTCCGGTTACGTTGATCAAGTGGATTTCTACTTATTTGTCGAACCGTACTCAAAGAGTTGCATTCAAGGGTTCATTCTCAAACCTTGTTCACGTGACTTCTGGTGTTCCTCAAGGGAGCCACCTCGGTCCTCTTCTATTTGGCATTTTTATAAATGATCTGCCCCAAGTTATTCTCCACTCTTACGTCTTGATGTATGCTGATGACGTAAAACTATGTTTGCCTCTTGTGAATCCTGACTCTGCTCAGCTTTTGCAAGCTGATTTAAACAACATGATGTCCTGGTGCACTCAAAATTTATTGTTTTTTAACAACTCCAAATGTAAATACATGTCGTTTTACCGCAGAAATTGTTTCCAGGCTAACTATTCCTTAGGCACGAGTGTTCTTGAACGTATCCACTCTGTAACGGATCTTGGTGTTCTATTTACCCACAACTTGAGCTTCACCGATCACATCGGTATAATTGTTGGTAAAGCAAAGGGTGTTTTTGCTTTCGTAAAACGATGGTCTAAGGAATTCGATGATCCCTACACTACAAAACTTTTATATATATCCCTGGTTCGGCCCATACTCGAATATTGTTCGTGCGTATGGTCCCCTCAATATGCAAAGTATCAGGATCTTATCGAATCGGTACAGAAACAATTCCTTTTCTTCGCTCTTCGGGGTTTAGACTGGGACCCACATCGCCACCTTCCTCCGTATGCCGACAGACTACGCCTTCTGGACCTGCCCTCTCTTAAGGATCGTCGGACCTGCCATGGCGTGATGTTCCTGCATAAATTAATAAATGGATATATTTTTTCCAGTAATCTTCTTAAACAAATACGCTTTTCAGTTCCTTCTAGGCCATCACGTTACTTTCGGCCTATAGCTTTGGATATTTGCAAAACTAATTTCGAGGCACACGATCCTTTTCGCGTTTTATGTTCGCTTTACAACGACCTGTACTCTCTGTTATATTTTGAAATGTCACTAGACTTTAACAAAAATAATATCTTAAGACACCTATCCTTGCCTCTGACCACCTGATGTGAGTCGGAGCATATCATTAAAAAACACTCCTTATCCGGTCTGAGGTAAGGATATGGATTTAAAATGGCAGATATTTGCTATTCTTAATAAATAAATAAATAAATAAATAACTGTAGCATACCATCAAGCACATCCTCTCGTACCATTCAGCAGATACCATCCTCTTTAATTGTTTTATATAAAAATATATTAAACGAATTATTAACTTTGTAATTTTGTACATTAAAATAGTAATTATAGTAGCCAAGAGACAGGTGCTCACTAGATACTGTGGGTTTTCTAGCGTACAATCGGATTGGTATTTGTGCACTTCTTGCTATGCTCGGTACAAAGCTCGTCGGATATGGCGTGGGCCTTCCTCACTGATTATATGTCACACATTTACACTACTACAATAAAAGTTTAAGTGCACATTCTGAAAACTAAATGATTGGTCAATGGTTGAACTATTCGGACGCTCGGACGGACCCTAAAGAGTAGGCTATAAGAGAGGAACACTCGCGTTGTGGGTGGCTGAGGTGTCGTTCGCCCCCACGTCTTTACCCTCCCTGCCGTAGTAACTTCAGATAATTAGTCGTTACCCCTTAACTAAATTCTTCTTTTCGAGTTTAGCTCATTTCAAAGTTATTCGACATCCACTTGCTGTACTAACACAAGACCAAAGACATTAGTTTTTTCTCCATTATTATTCCTTTATACTTCAAGATAATTCAATATTTTGTCTCTTACAGTCGCTATTCATGTTTTTTAATTTATCTAGTACCTCGCTACTTACTTCTACGTTAATTGCAACTTATATAAACAAACGCGTAAATGTGCGGCTCGCTTAGGATCCCCTTTAAATTATACATCTTGAGCTGTGTTGGAGGGTGGCGGCTTTAAGCTGAAATGCACTCGAAATAAAAACACGTAGGACTTGTCGGGGTGTTACGCGACGTGCGTCGGGATGTCTATTTATGCAGAAGTAAATTGGTACAAAAAACAATACAAAGAAGAAACTAAAGCTAGGGAGAGCGGATTAGAAGCTCTAGGGACTGGAAGTCCGGAGGAAGAGGGAGAGAAAAGGAGAGCGTACGGGATCACACTGCCCCCCGAAATTAAACGCCTTTCTTGCGTGAACATTCTCCCCCCCCTTGCGAGGATACGCAGCAAAAGTACCAGGAAGGATTAGCTCTGGAAAGCGTAGGATAACGCTGAGCACTCGTTGGTATGGAGAAGAGTGTGGTGATCTTGTCCACACGACTGGCATCGGTCGTTACTTCGACACGATCCTCCGGAATGATAGTGGGCCAGGCAGTTGACACAGTATTTCCTTTCGATGACTGCCTGGAGCCGTTTCTCAGCGCTAAGATGCAGAAACCGGTGGCATTTCCGAAGAGGATGGTTCCCTTGGCAGACTCGACATTGGTAGGATAAAATACCTCGGCAACGTCTGCTCTTGCTATCGTCGTATGGAACCCAGTAATGGGAGGAATCGGCAGAAGTGGTCACTCGTGTGGAGAACGAGGAAATCTTTTGGACTGGTGGATGAATTTGTGGTGCGTCATCAGGAGGATTCGGAACACTGGAAGAAGTGTTGCTTGGATGCAACAATGTGTGATGCCGACCGTGACAAGTAGACAGTTGTGGGCGCTTGTGCAATTACTTAGAGGATGACCGCTTGCAAAGAAATTTAAGCACAACTGATTTTTCTGGATATATGAGGTACGATCTTCTATTGTCATTTGGAGGAAGCGTGGACATTTACGCACCTCAGTCGGTTTGGACGGACTGAGGCGTATCGTAAGAGGCTGAAGAGAATCGATGGTTTCCAGAGTTCTGTGGCGCTCAGTAAGGAACGAATCGAGTTCTAGCCACGACGGAATATTTCGTTTTATTTGTTAAGGATTGCTCCCATAATGAAAGCGTCAGCTTTGGAAGCTTCGTGGAGCACAAATAAACCAGGAGGCAGTCCCAATTATCCGTATGAAGGCCGGACAGAGCTAGGGATGTGAGGCAATTTCGAATTGTATTTTGCAGCTCCTTCAAGGCTGCCAAGGATTCGCTTCCCTTCCCTTCCTTCTCCAGTTTTAGGCCGCTGTCCACTTCCGCCCTCCTCTTCCTATTGCTTTAGGTCCCTGACGTGAAATACACCTGCGAGCTTCCCATTTGTGTCCTCCACCTCGTACATGTGATTCCCTATGGGCCTTCGAATCCGGCATCTCAGGAACTTTCTAGCAAACTTCGCATTAAAGCATCTCCCAAAGTCGCTCAACACATGATTCCTTCGGAACGCCTCTTGTCCGGGATTGAAGGTTACCGCTCGTGTTCGACGGTCAAAATATCTTGCGCTGGTTTCATGCGCCTCATGCAGGTTCCGCCTCATGGTATCCCTCAGCAACGCCATCCTGTCCCCTGGTTCCAAGCCCTCGAGCTCGTTGTCCTCCAGTGCCCGCAGCTTTCGTGCCAACTGGTAATCGGCCCCACTTGAGAACATGTTCTGCCCAAACAAGGCAAAATACGGCGTCACACCTGTCGCTTGATGAACCGAACTCCTCAATGCCGCCTCTATCTCCGGAAGGTATATGTCCCAATCCCTGTGGTCATCCTCCAGGTATGCTCGGATTGCGTTCAGCACCGATTGATTGACCCGTTCCACCGCGTTCGATTGAGGGGAGTACAACGCTGTCCTGATATGCCTTATCCGGTACTGCTTGATCATTTCCTGAAACCGCTTCGCCACGAACTGTTTCCCGTTGTCCGAGTGGATCGTTTCTGGAACTCCAAACGTATGGAAGATCTCCTTGGTCAGAAACTTGATGACTTCCACCGTCTTCGCCTCCTTCATCGCTTTCAGGAAAGTGAATTTGGAAAAGTGATCGACCACGATGAAGATATATGCGTGGCCTTTCCTAGAGCGCGGATATTTTCCCAGCAAATCAATGTATAACTTTTGGACTTCCATACAATGGCTTAGTCTCTTTACACACGTCACAGTCCCTGATGAAGTTTCGGACCTGAGCCACCATGCCTGGCCAATGGAAACTTTGCCTTAGGCGAATCGGAAAATTTTGTAAATTTTTTTAAAAATTTTGTAATTTTTTTTTTAAATTTTGTAAATTTTTTAAAAAATTTTGTAATTTTTTTTTGAATTTTGTAAATTTTTTTAAGAATGTTGTAATTTTTTTTTTAAATTTTGTAATTTTTTTTTTTTAATTTTGTAATTTTTTTTTAATTTGTAAATTTTTTTTAAAAATGTTGTAAATTTTCTTTAAAATTTAGTAATTTTTTTTTAAATTAAAAGAAATTTTTTTTTTAATTTTTGTAAATTTTTTTAAAAATTTTGTAATTTTTTTTTTTAATTTTTGTAAATTGTTTTTAAAAATTTTGTAAATTTTTTTTAAAAAAATTGTGTAAATTTTTTTAAAAAATTTACAACATTTTTACTTTCCGCCATGAGACTTCGTTTGTGGTGAATGTGCTTGCTCGATCAACGTCTGGCTCAATGACGTTGGAACCCACAACTTCCAGCTGTTTTCCTCGAGCTCTGGCTTGCTGCTTGTTGTGATCCGTTTAAATACACACCCATCCACCACTTTGAGGTCCGGCCGCTTCTCCGCTTCCACCACCTCACGCAGCTCCCGGTACTCATCCGATTCAAACTCTATGGTCTGAAACATCAGCATCCAGTCGTCTTCCACTTCTTGGACTGATTCCACCATCCTTGACAGGGTATCCGCCGTGCACCCTCTCGTGCTCTTGGGAATTCCCAAATTTTGAATTGCTTCGACCTTCTTAGGGTCAGTTCTAAGAACTCCGTCACCTATAATAAAGCCCAGGTACCTAAGCTCTTTAAAGCAGAAGTGAGACTTCTTTAGCCCGATGGTCAATCCCGCTTCCCTCAAGAGTCGTGCCACTTCCTGGAGTGTTTCTATATGTTCCTCAAATGTTGGGGACACCACCAGCAAGTCATCCAAGTACATAAATACCTTTTCTCGCAATCTCTGGGGGATCACTTTATCCATGAGGCGATTCTTTCCCGGCTTTCTCTCGAGCGTAAAGGTATTACTCCATGAACTGTTGAGGAAAGCGAAGCATTTCGTCTACTTCCTCATAGATAAGCGCTTGGACTGCCGGTGGCGATCTTTCACCGGGACTGCTCCTTCCACCAGATCTATTGTGTGTTTCATCCTGGTAGTCCTTCCCAGGCCATTGGCTTCAAAGGTAAAGAAGGAGTCGGATTTCTTGTAGCTTCTTCTGTTGGTCCTCGGTCAAGTCGTGTGGCTCTGGTTCCCCTTTCGTTTCCCGTTGTAGGTCTCAATTGGCTTGGATCGATTCTACGCAAAATACCTCTGGTACTATTCGGGAACTCTTAAAATCTACTCCCAGATATAGTTCCTACTCGAGGGATGGGCACAAAAAAAGTTTATCATGGCAATTTCCTTTTGGTACTCCACAGGATTGTCACTTTTCCCAGGATCTGCTGTGTTGCTCCATTGGCTGTTCGAACTTTAGCGAAATGCGGCTTCCAGGTGATGTCAAGCGTTTCTAGCAGTTCTCTTCGTCCCAAGAGGCTCACCGATGCACCGGAGTCCAATAGCCCTCGGACCGTCTTCCCAGAGATTTGAATTTCCGCATAAGGTCGTGGATCGGCTTTGATATCTCCCTACGGAGTTCACCGACTGCTGAACCTTCGATCGCTCCTGCCTCCTTTTCTGGAACCGGTCTCTGGCCTTCTTGACTCTCCTCGATACCAGCGTCATCCCTGCTAGCCGGTTGTTCCCGAATATCCGTTCGCGTGCTTCCTTATATCGGCGTACTCGTTCGCTTAGTGTCAAATACAGCCTGCCTGGTCCCTGCACGCTTGGTTGAGTATTTTGTTTGGCTTCATCTTTTAAATTCGGGGTCTCCTCTCTGGCTCTCTCGTGGAACGCGGTTCGCCTTTCATAGCCGTGTTCCTCCCGGTCTTTCCCGCCCTGCAATTCGGGCACTTCGGTGTCGCGGTGTTCTGCAACCCGCATTTGTAGCAGAACAACTTTCGCTGCACTGCCTCGCACTCCATAAAAGTGTGCCCGCTTTGCTGGCAGTTCCAACAAACCAGCAGCTTCTTAGGTGCTGCACCAGCAACTGCCTCCACCACTGCATCGGAATCCGGCTGTGATTTGAGATCCCCCAAAGTGCCGCGGAGTTCCTCGACTCTTTCGACTCGCTGTTCCTGCCTGGGCCTATAGGAGACTGGCAGTCGCGTCCGCTGTCTCCCGTGCTCCGGATCCAGCGTTCTTTCCGCTTCCTTGCACTCGTCGTGCAGGTGTTCCAGAGTATACACCCGGATCGGGTATACCCATTGCCTGAAGGGCTCGGCTAAATTCCGTTTGGCCGTTTTTATAACCCAATCTGGATTTACACCTCCGACCATGGAAGCCACCAGTCTCCTGAGCGCCGTGAAATACTCGTCCAGCGTCTCTCCGGGCCTCTGTTTCCTCTCGGCTATGTCCTGGATCCGGTCATAGTCGCTCCGCTTATCGCAGAAGCGACGCTCGAGAGCTTGCTTCAGCTCTTCCACGACCTAGGCTGCTAGCAACAACCTTAACAACTCCGGCCACGGCACCCCGTAATAGTGCTGGAGATGTTCCACTCGGAATAAAAAATCTTCCGCATTTATGCCCCGAGAATTTCCCGTAAATTGGAATCCCCATTTGTCCAATGGCACATCGTGATGGGTGCGGATTGTAGGTCGTGTGTCTGGATTCCACTGAGCGTTGTTCCTGCCCTGGCCATTTCCACCTGCCCCTACTGGATCCGTACTGCGGAATCTTGTTCGGTTCCCTGGTCCTGGGAAGTTATAGAACACCTGCGTCGAAGCACCTCCTTGGATCCTTCCACCGCCGCACAGTAGCGCCTTTTCTCATTTAGCGTTGCAAAAATCATATCTTTTGAACCAAATAAGGTAATCGAATAATTTAAACGGCATTGGACAAGTAATTGTTGTAAAATATATATATGTACTGCATAAAGTACCACGCCCACAAATACGCCTTTTTAAAGGGTATCAAAGTGAAAAAATAATTTTTTTTCAATGAAAACAATTTTTAAACAAAAATTTTTATTTAATTTTTTATGTTTATTTTTATGTATTTGCTCAAATAAAAATAATTTGAAAACTGAAAAAAAAATTTTTTTTTGTAATTTGAAGTGTAACCGCCACGCGCTACAGTTAGTATATTTCTTGAAATGTATGAAATTGTGTCGGTATTTTGGTATATTTTACCCTGAGTTGTTTTGGTTTTTTGCGTTGCATTTCCGCAGACGCAGCTCGACGCAGCCGATGAAAGTTAATTCTGATCCAGGAAAGATCCACGGAACTTGTAGTTATAGTGTAGTCAGTGGCCGGCATTGGCGTCAAAAGATATAGACTACTTTAGGCAGAAAAAGGTGAAAAAAATGGACACCTGGCAGGTAGCGATTTACCTGTAGAAGCCCAAACCAAAGTGTCGTTTTTTTTAGGTTCTTTAATAGTTTATGAATGTATCTATCATTTAAAGTTAAAACCATGACCATTGGTTTTATGGTTTTTTTGTAATATTACCTGAAAGTCGACCAATTTACACATTTTTTTTTGTATGATGCAAAAAACGAAACAAAGTTCAACTTTAAATGCTCATAACTTCTACAAAAAAAAATCTTAAAATTGATTTTATTGCAGATTCTGAATCCTTGTTAAATTTCCTGTCGAATAAGTATGGTTAAAATCGTTTTTGCGAACATGACTTTTTCGATTTTTGCAACGCTAATTGTTCGAGAGGCGCTACTGTGCGCCGGCTCTTTCTTGCAGTCGCGGGATGGACTGGAACGTGGAATTTTGAACCACATTCGGAACAAAGGCCTGCCAAGAATTCATATGCTGCTCGCTCTGTCCATTTGCCTGGACAGCTTCGAATCCCTGGTCCCGTCTTTGCCCTTTGTCCTGTTCGCGATCCACTTCCTGTCTCTGGCCTTTATTCAGACCTTTATTAGTTGCCCCAGACCCGATGGACGATGACGAAGAAGCTGCGTCTCGACGATCCATCTTTGCCATCATCTCCGCGAAGCCTGCCCGGATACACTGGTCGATACGGATATCCATCAGATGCGTCATGTCCACCCTAATTTGCTCCTGGGAGGCCTGTATCATAGCCTGCATCTCCCTTTTGTTTCATTGACTTGTAAGCTTCAGCATTTTCCATGCTATACTGCTCTTGTATCGGGTCTAACTGAATCTGTGAGTACCCGTATGGAGTGGACTCTGGGTTCAAGTTCAGGCTGCGTGGCATGACCCTCCTCTGCTGGAAGCTTAGTCGGCTCCTGTCCGACCCTGGTCTCAACTCTTCGGCTCCTGTTTCTCCCTGACCTACTTTAATATTCTCCTGCTCTGCCATTTTCATGAAAGAAGAACGTTACCAACAAGGAAATGCAATCTAACGTAAACCAGGCAACAGAACGACCAATGTAATAATAAAGAAAAACAAAAACTCGACGGATTTCCAATCAAATTTTAACTTTAATTGGAAGAAAGAAGTTCCCCGGGTACTGAGTAGTGTGTGTGTTGTAACGATAAACATACATGCCTTCTATTAGAGGTCTGCATGAATTAATTCAAAACGGCATATGAGACATTCATATCTCAGTGAATTGAATGAATTCGGCTGCGAATTCCACTGAATTTGAGTGAATGCGTGCGCCGTCGTTGTACTCACAACTACACACTCACACATAGGGAGAGCGAATTGAATGCCGACAGAGCCGAATACAGAGAATGAGTATTCGTTTACGTGCGCTTACAGTGGAAACATAATTTGATGACATATAATT